TAAAACTCTGAATTCTTGAAACAAAATCAAATGATTGTGAACTAACCACCGGATTATGTACTGTGTATGTCCTATGTATTGAAGCATGGGCAATGTTACTGCGTGATAACCTCAACGATTTCATTTTTTTTCAAAATTAGAGAAATTTGGAAATTTTTGTGACATTTAACAACATGCGATAGTTCAAAAATAATCCTCATTATGATTCTTAAGTGATTCTCTAGCTATTTTTTTATAAAATTTGAATATATTATGATTTACATGTTTTTGAAGTCCAATAAAAGGCATGTATATGGATCCTGTGTCTATGTGTCTCCCTGACATCTTCCTTCTAAATGTTGATATCCTCGGTCTTGATATCCACTTCTAGTGTCAGTGATGAAAGGAATTGGTGTTCGGAATATACTGCAACCACCACGCGAGACACGCACATGAATGAATGAACAATTGGTGAAATAAAACTTAAAAACCCAAAACCCTTCAAAAATGAGAGCAGATCTAACCTAGGAGAATCTACATCATCTTCGAGATTTATTGCGATTAATTCTGGCAAATACCAACTATAATGGGGAATAAATTGTAATTCTTCAAATGGCAAGATTCTTATTTTTGGTGAAGTTGAAATTTACTCTTACTTATTATTGGGGGCCCTTCTTAAGTCTATTTTTAATAAATTTCTTCCAAAAAAGAAAAACATGGAACAGTGTGCACCTCAAATGAAAGTTCTTGCTTTGTGACTAAGTATACTTCAATGTGATAAGTCAAAGTAAAATTTCCTTCATCTAAATTCTCTCTCTCTATATATATTTATTTATTTATTGGTATGTAACTCGAGAATGATGGAAGAAAAAATCTGGAAAAGTGAAATTTTATACTCTTCATTGTCATGTGTGTCACAATTCATACCCTTATAAAATATGAATTGACATCTTTCAAACTTATAGGTACATAAAATTATGAAAAGTAGGTATATACTGGAATGTAGATAATTGAAGACTTATTATATATTTCTTCATTCTTCAAAAAAAGTATTCTTTTCCAAATGATTTTTTTTTCGTTTTTTGATAGACCAGATTTAGTTAACATATGATAATGCTTCAATGAACGACAACTCTTAAAAAAAATCAAGAATGCATCGACATTTCTTTACATTATTTCAGTTTGCGTGATGACAAAACAGCTATCCTATGTTCATTCTTTCAAACACTCTGTGCTAACAGACACTGAGGTTGGTCATTTCCAATATCATATCACTTACATATATATGAGAATGATTTACTCAGATCCAAGTCAAAGTTGATTATTTAATTTATTTTTCTGTATCTTTATTATGTGCCATTCGATTATATGTAATGGTATACTTGTAAAGTTTAAATGTTTCCTTGAAAACTTCCCTCTTCGAAATCTGAAATGTCACTGTATGCATTGGCTGAAAGTCTTAATCATCACACATTAGCAGCAGAGAGTGATGCCTCGTTATGAGAATTTGAATAAGCCACTACGTCATTATTCATTTTATGTATTGCATCATGAAGTTGGATCGCCTTGATACAGTACTCATGTTGTGCTGCAGAGTTCATAAATTTTGAATTTTGTTTGATTAGAGCTGATTTATTGTCGACTACCGCAGTAGTTTTAATATCATTGTTTGACTGAGAGTGGAAGCAGATGAAAGGTATTTTGAGATATTCTCAGCAGGGCCCTGTAGAAGATTATGTTAGTCACGAGCCCGGACGCAACCACTGTCCCTTCTTAACTCTCGTAACCTCATTATTCGTAAACAGAAATATAGAAAAATGTGAGCTCATGATTCGAAAAAGGTGAACCCAATGCAACATTCTCGTGCTCCGAGTCCAATTTCAAAAAATGTCCCTGGTCGTCGACTTATATTCCTTTTGGTTTACCAACAACGTAACGTTTGGAAGGATTCAACAATTTTGGATCGTAGTCGTTGGAGGTGCGCAAAGACGAGTTGGAGTAGAGGTCTTTAACTACGCCCATATATGACCACAGTTCCAACTACTAGTAGTAATGCCCCATACTAGATCTCCCACAAGTACTCTTGACGCTTACCACATCGATTTATATATGTGTATGCTATGGTCTTCCCATCCTTTTCTATGATCTACTTGGCCCCCTATCTCTGTATATGATGCCACTATGTATTATTTCGAGGAGTATCTTCTCCACTTGGAAATGCTTCATTTTTTTCAAGCTCATATCGAGGACAAACCTCCAGCATGTAGTATGAGGGTCAAGAGACTTCATTTGTCCTGATGTACATTCATTCATCAGTCTCCTACGTGTGTACTTCACGAAACTGAGCTAAACAGGTCAGTTTCGTGCTGCTTTATATTCCTGGAAAGATTCCTTGAAGGTGTAGTTGCTGCAGTTGGGTAAATTTAGGGAGTGGAGTACGAGAAGTAAGTTTAGAACGTTTCACTTATCCTATCTTGAGGAAGAGTTCGTTTGTACGAGATTGTTACATTGATGCGATATTCACTCCCCTGATCATAGGTTGAAAAGAAAAGAATAGATGTTGATTTAGTACTCGTCATATTATGGGGAAGAAAGAAGTGATCAGTTTAATCTGCGTACCACGGTCAAGAGCTGGTAGTGAGAAGATGCTAGATTCTTTGCAAGTTGAAGAAGGGAAGGACAAGGTCTGTACCGGATCGTTGATGGATCTCATCAAACTCCTCCACTATCAGCAGTGAATTTGCATGCATGACCAGTGGTCGTAACCATGGCTGTTGGTGCTCTTCGTTTACGTTGTCCTGGTTACTAAACTTTATTCCGCTCTCGACACCACGCTGATGGCCAATACCTGCGAATTCGTGCAGCAGGTTCTCACAGCTCGCGAGTCGAGGAGAATGAGTACAACTCGTTCAGGACACAGATGGAAAGGGGTATTAAAGCGAGATTAGTTTAATGGGATCGAAACATTTTGTAACCGGAATTCGTTGTCCAATTGACTTGGAAGTACAGTTGGTGCATTCCTAGGTGCCGATCTTATATCCATCATGCAGGGCGCAAGATTCCTAACGAGCTCGACATACGAGATAAATGCTGCTTCTGCTTCATACCACAAGTTTCATGAGGTCAAAGCGCATATACTACAGTGGTCCCTTTGATCCCCTCTAGGCTTCTATCTCTCTCTGTCTTACCGATGAGAGAGACTCCCTCGCGCACTGTAACTCGACCCGCTCCCTTCGGCTGTGGCCGCCAGCCTGGGGTGGCGAGCTTATGGATCCGGACGCAGAACGAGAGCCTTCAGAACCTCCGACTCCATGAAGAATATGAATGTATGAATGAATGAAATCCACAACTGAATTAGCCCCTTGAAATTTTTTAATCCCACGGTGTTGCTCTCTGGATCCGACTCTTTCTCCTTCTCTAGTATTTTCTACGTAATTACAGGAGATTGCGACAGAGAGGTCTCAAGTTGTGTGCAGGTAAGATGTGATGAACTAGTTCCTCTTGTGAGCCTCAGACTCTCGAGGGGCCCCCCTCGAGATACTCTACTGTGGTCCACGCCACCTGCCTATGCGCTTTATTTCTCCGCCAAGGCTGCTGGGCCTGCCTGTCTGCCTGCCTGCCTACTGCTGCTGTGTGGGTGCGGCTACCTTGAGGTCGCTGTGGGCCTCGGGTCCAGTGCCGGAAGCTGCACTGCGTGCATGCAGGAGGAGAGATTAAACTAAATCTCGCTCGTCACGCAATACACAACAGCCTTCAAACAATTGTAGTGGTAGTCTTGTACTTGCACTTGCAGCCTCGTCAAGCTCGAGACTCTAAATCACACAGAGGCCCGGCCGGGAATTTCCCCCTTCCGGAGATGGGCAGCTCCGATCATAGACGGAGAGGTAGTTACGACCAATAATTTTCGTTCAGGTCTTACAGACCCAGAGAGATCATACGATGATGGCTAATTCTCAAATTTTCACTTTCGTGCTGCATCAATTTATTTATATGTGACCCTAAACCCTCCACAAAAGTTCGCATGTCCGTGGCTAAATGTCAAGCCGGTGCTGCTCGTCCTCCTCCAGCTCGGCCAGAGGGGACCAAATCTCTACAATCTTCTACAATCTCCGAGCTGATCTCTAATCTGATCTAGGCGGATTTTGCACTAGCAACGATTCGCTATATCCGAAGCCTAAACTCGGAGTTCATCGGGACGAGAACAGATTTTGTTTGTGTCTGTCTGAACTCTTCGAAAACTGCGTTTCTACAAACCTCTAGCTCGCTGATGGAACGGCGCTTCTCGGATGCTAGCCCTGATCTGATCTGAACCCCGAGGATAATCGTGCACGGAAGTGCGGAACGAGAGTTGTTCCATGTGTCAGTAAGATACTGTAAGTTAGTGAATCGGTAAGTAAGTACAGCTAGTAAGTGACGGGGTATGTAATCAGATTGGATTCCTGTAACGTGGACGTGAGGCTGCATTAGTGGGAAGTGAAGGTGAAAGGTAGAATCAGGCTCGAGGAGTAGTAAGTGAAGCGTGACCTGTAGAGGGGGGTAGATCATGGATGCAGGTCCACTGCAGGCTATGTTTCTGCCCCGGCACTGCTCTGCACTGCACTGCACTTCACTGCGCTGAGAGACAAGGCGAGGGGTGTGTGTGTCAGGCAAGGCCATGAGCTACGATTCAAAATATGCTGCAACGTTCACATGCGACGTCAGCCAGTGCGTGTCTGACAGGAGGGGCTCATGACAAAGTTGGAGGTACCGTATTCGCAAGAGGGGGACAGGCAGACGGCTGGCTAGTTAGACAAGAGGGAGGGAGGGAGGGAGGGAAAGGGTAAGAGAGGCAGGGGGGTCAAATGGGGCGTTGAAAGCCGGGGGGGAGGGAGAGGCAAACGAGCGAGTGTTCCGGTGCCGGGAAGCGGAGTCCGACAAAATCTATGGCAGTGGGGGCATTAGTTCCTCTGGCCTGGCCTGGGCTTCTCTCGGGGGCAGCCTCGGGTCTGTTCTTTTCTGTTTTCGTCATCCGAATCGCTGACAGTTATTATAAATCTAATTCGCAGTCACGTTCTGTATCATTTTCTATGCCGTCGAGCGGTACACCGGCGAGTGCAGCTCCAGCTCCCGCAGCAACAGCAGCGTCCGATTCTATGGATACATAACAACCTTCCAGCGCCAAAGGTTGCCCACCTTTGCGCGCTCTCGTCTCTCCATGCCACAGCAGGTGGACTGACCAGTCGACTGCCTCTGCTGCTGCCTGCCTGCCTGTCTGCTCTCGAGGACTTCAAAGACCTGCTCTCGTTCGTTCAGCTCTAGTCGCCACTCGCTCGCCCCCTCGCCCCCTTGCGCATTCGGCTTTCCGGATAGCAGACTCCTTCACTGAGATTTGAGGAACGGCGGTAGGAGGGTGGCGGGCACGAAGGCTCATGGATCCGAGATCCAAGTCGAGGTCGAGCACGGGGATGGCGGCCCTCGTGCGCCGCGTTCTGGGAGCTGGTCCACGGTTCAGGAAGAAGAGCAAGATGGAGGCCGATGAGTATTTCTCGTCCAAGAGCAAGGGAAGCTCGAGCTCGGGTTCTTCTTCTTCGTCGTCGTCTTCTTCGTCCTCGTCCTCGTCGTCGTCCACGGAGGGCAGCGAAGTGGACAGCGAGGCGGAGGGGGATGAGGTGCTGGCCATCAAGGAGAAGAAGCGGCCGCGGAGGCAGAGATGCAGGAGGATTCGGAAGCAGAGGTCGTATCAGATTTGGATTGGCAACAGGCCCAGAGTCGCATTCTCGTGCCTGAGAATACGAATTGTGCACATGGTGAGGCTCATGAAGACGATGGCCTTCCTGCGCAGAGTGAGGAACGCGTACAGGCGCTTGATGCACGCCGCAGGATCTTCCAGAGCCGTCCTCACTCTCACCGATTTATACTACGCCATCACTGATCTGATTCCCAGGTCCGACGACGCCAAGGGCCCTCCTCCTACCAACATCATCGTGCTGCGTCCAATTCTGCTCCACTCGGCCGACAAGCGAAGCTTGAGAACCCGAGCTGACATCCAAGCTCTGAGAGCGAGAATCGACCTGCAAGCCTTCGGGTCCGGCGCGTTAATCAGAACCAACACTCTCGTTTCGTGAGCCACGAGTTTTTATTCTTCTCAAATCGCTCCCGTGCCTTGTAAATACACCGCCAGCAGCAGCAGCAGCAGCTCTTCATTCCTTCACATCGTTTCAATTTGTTTCAGTTCAATTCTTTCTTATACACGACATCAGCGTAAGCCAGAACCTTGGAGGTTGGATTGATCGAGGCCACAATTGCTCCTATGCAGCAGCAGCAGCAGCACCTGTTAGTTCGATAAATACTTCAAGGAGGTGGCGAACATTCTGCCGTCCGTGGGCGGCATGGAATGCATGGTCTGGTATGGACCAGGTCCAGATTTTTAGATGGGCTCTGTAGGAAGGTCGTAAGTTTAGTCTAGGGAAGCGCTCGGGTGCTGTTTAGGAGTTCACGGATGGCGCTCAATGTCGTCGTGCCTTGTACAGCTACTGGGCAGTTGGGAATGTGAGAGCAGTCGCGAGATAGAATCGGCCTCGTGCCTGCACGGACAGCGATGAGAAGGAAAGTAGAGTTAGGAATCACTCAACCTCTACGACACGGAGAGAGCAGAAGGTCTCGACAGAGTGTGACTCTGTCCGTTGGTCTGTCTGTCTCTGTGTGTCTGGAGCTTGAGCCCTTTTTGTACAACAGTCAGGTATATCCAGCACCACCATTTACTTGCAATATGAAAGGAAACCATCCACTTCACGCTGGTTCTCTCTCGTCTACGTCTCTGCTGCTGTACCGAATGCCTCTCTTCTCCATAGCCTAGATCTTATGAAGCTCTGCCTCATCATGATTCTTTCTCTCGATGGATGAATTTGAGTCTCACTCTGCTGCGTTCGAAATTCTCACCCGAACGAGCAGAACCATTTTTACATTCTTCTACCCTTCACTGTAATCTCCTCTGTCCCAATCGAGGGCCACCCCTGCCCTCCTCCGATCAAGGAGCCTGGAGGTACTCACCACCCACGAGCTCATGGACGCACGTTTCCCGGTTCGGTCATCATCACGGTAACGCAATCGAGAGCATGGTCCACGAATCAGGTAACGTAGAGTAGAGTGGCATAGGAGGAACTTTTCGCATGCTTCTGAAATTGTGGTTGGAGGGTCATGATAGTCCGCGAGTGCTAGTTTCAAGGGTACGGACGGGTTAGAGATTCTGTATAGAGAATGAAACGTAGCAGTCTTAGGGCTCCAACCAATTTGTCAGATTATATTACCAGCGGTCGTACTAATTGGCCTTTTCCGGGGTGATCAGGAGCGCGGAGGTTCGGAGATGGGCTTTGCATGGGATCAATGTCAGTCGAGAAAGGAAGAACGCCAGAGTAGCGACCTGCTCCTCTGGATATGTTCAAACTCAGGTGAGCTGTGCAGAGCCACTTCTGCGGAGGCTTTGCTTTACACGTAGAAAGGAGGAAGCTCACATCTGCACCTCCTTTTCAGGCGATGGGGCTGAAGGCGCGAGAGGTAGGTCGACTAGCACTCGAGTACACCATGAAATTCGTTGAATTGTCGTTCCAAAGCCGTTTTGAACTTCATCCTCCCGCTGTCTTCGAAAACCTTAAAATACGACGCCCTCGGTCCCACGAATGCACCGGAAAGTTGGGACTTACTTCAGTAATCCACTCTCATCCGGGTCTTTGTTTCTGCAGGTTCTGCAGAGGGAGGAGGAAAAGGTGTTGACCATCCATGCCCGGCCAAACGTAGAGCGAATCATCTCCACATGCGCCAGTATGGGGGAATCAACGAGTACGACCACCAATGCGACTTCTCTCGTGCCTCCTGTCTGGTGACAGGAAGGTTGTTCCAACGTAAGTACAGTCGTCAACCTCAAGCACGGCGGGTCTCCGGCAGCAAGACAAGCAACGTAACAGAACGAGAGATTCATCGCTTCTGCGGAGACAGCCGGCGAGAACTGTCTGGCTCGCCAGCTCGTCGTAAGCATCGCCATTGTGCACACATTCGTCATGCTGCTTCCGAGCATGATTCAGGACTGGAATCCCTCCTCGGCCCGAAGCTCTGATCGAGGAAGCAGGACCGGGGACACTTCTGCGGGGGCTCTGAATCCGCTTCTTCGTGAAATCATCGGATTGCACATCACCGAGGTCCTGAGAATATCCGCGATTTCGATGCATCGGCGACTGGGGACGTGTGTCTCGATCAGGACCGAATATTCGATTCCTCTAGACAGAAACTTCCTTGGAGAGAATCCGCTCCGTCGAGGCACGTTCCAAGATCTCCGTCGTTCGCAGTCGTCTCCGTCTTCCGGCTTCTCTCGAGCGAGCACGGGGCGCCCAGCGGCTTCTGTCCGAGCGTCCATCCTCCCTCCCTCCCAGCCAGCGGGAGAGCGGCGGAAGGAGGTGGAGTTTCGAGAAGAAGCGTATTTCGGTGTCGGAGGTGGCTTCTCCTTGAAGCTCGGTCCCCATCCCCCGACCCATAAAGTTGTCTCGAACTTGTAATCGAGCCTCGATTTGGAGTTTCGCTGCTCTCGTCGTCGGTCGGTAGCTCTTCGCAGGTGCGGGATTTTGCTGCTGCCGACGACGAAGGGTTAGGGGTGACGGGTAATTGGCTGTCGACGTGAGGATCTCTCTCTAGGTTCTTGATTTTGCACGTCCGGGGTTTCCACTGCTGCTGACGACGAAGGGTTCCGGGACGTCGATTTTTTTAGGCGTGGAGCTTTTTCTTGGTTCTTCAGCTTTTGGGTTCTCGTCGTCGAGGAGCTTTTTCTAGGTCCTTAGAAGTTTGCACCTCTGGGGTTGCTGCTGCTGCTGAAGAAGTGCTCGTAGGTAAACGGCTTTTGACGTGAGGAACGAGGATAGGGCGATGGATTGGGGCGTGGAGCCCCATCACCTCAATCATCTCCTCAATCTCTACACTCCCAGAATGTTGAGAGTCCAACCCGTACGGGTAAACAGTCGCTATGGTGCGTGGACACAGTGGAAAGTCTTTCCAGAAAGATTTTCGAAGCGCGGAAACCAGATAAGTAGTAATAGGCGATTCAAGCGCGGCATGATGATGCGTCTTATTATTGCGACGAGTTCGATTAGACGTGCACGAAAACTACGATTTAAGTGGTGGTGACTCTTCTGTGAAATGGTCGGGCTTTGCATCGGAGGAGAACCACTTCAGTGTGTGCTTGCTGCCTACTCCCATTTCTGAGGCGCTCCGAGTTCCATTACACGCGTTTTTCAAGCTCTAGTTTATGTACAGTTTTGAAATCCCACAAACTGGCTTCAACAAATGTAAAACTCTCGACAATTTTTTTTTACCCCTTCCCACGATTTCTTCGTCATGGAAGCATGCAATATAGGGGTTAGTGTTCTTTTTCATGTACATCGATCTCATCGGAGAATTTAAGGCAACAAGAAACAGAAGTTTCGCAGTCAATTTGGAGCAGTGTGGTTAGCAGGTTTAGAGGAGAAGATCAGGAGAGTGTTTTTTATCAAAGGATCTAGCACTCGAACATGAGTAGATCCTGTATATAGGCCGGGAAGACGTGAAGAGTTCCTGAACTTTGTACAAACTGGACATAATTTCTATGCTCCTCGAAGAAGAGCATAACCTGAAGAAGATTTCAAATCTATTGCTGCATCCACTTGTCACAAATGTTTGAATGTACTGTACAGACTCTTGATACACTGCTTTATTCATTAACCAGACATTATTCTCATTATTCCGCAGCATATGAATGTCAAGGAGTGGATCTGTTACTCCCTATCGATCATGGTATGGTTTTTTCAGACTTTAGTCATACATTTCACTCGTTCGGAGAAGAATACGTTCAAATAAATACAATGCGACTCTCCCTATCGATCATGATATGGTTTTTCCAGACTTTAGTCATACATTTCACTAGTTCGGAGAAGAATACGTTCAAATAAATACAATGCGACTCTCGATGTGAACTGGCAGATTTCATTGGGATAGCCCGAAGTGATAGTGTAGGCATCCCGCCATTCGGTATGTTAATTGGACTAGCAGTACGCAAAGTGAGCACCGGTCGTGAATCTGAGTTCGGCGACCACATCAGTTCTCCTTGTCAAAATTTGACGTTCCTAGACGCTGTTTTGGAACACCTCTGCTGGCAGATGTAAGAACCCATGAATTTTGTTCCCACCTTTCCTCAACATTTGGAGTGGTTCTTTTTCAAAATTCACTTTTATCCCACTGTAGCATCCTTAGTTTGTACAAAGGTCTTCCAGCCCAGATTTGAGGTAGTTTAGTTCCTTATTCTAGGTAGACAAAATGAAACAAGGATCTCACTATCAATTGCATCGCTCATTCTTTGAAGACTGCTGAAAGTTTTGCATATTAGCAATGACATAAGGAATCAAAGAAAGCAACATCCGCTTGTTTGAACGGACTTTTTTCCGCCCTGGGAACGATTAGTATGAAAGTTTACCAAACTCATGGTTGTTACAGTCTCTCCGTCAGCGTAAGTGCCCATGTGTACACAAAGGCATAGCACAAGTTATTAGTTTGTCTGTCCAACAGGCTTAATTTGTGCAAGGTCCATGTACGTGTAAATCAACAGATCTGTAAGGTCCTGCATCATTAATGTACCTATGAAATTGACATCCGTGAATTGGCCACCTGCCTGTGGTTCAAACTAGTATGCTCTCTTCTTCTTGTTTTTGTTAGACAGAGTGGGAAGTTTTGAGCACTTTTTTGGAGTCTAGTACTCGAGTTCGACACGGTCGAGTCTGCTTTTACTCCTAGCACTCTTGCATTTTGGTAGGGTTCAGAATATGTGAAATTGCTTGGAAGTCCTGCACATGTTCCAGTGTTCTGTAACTCATGTATCTGAATTATGTGATTAGATTAGTATCAGCTCTCTTTTTCTACACAAATATTTATATTCATATTTATATTTTTTTCCTGTACGAGTCCAAAAATTAGTTCAAAATAAGGCAGGGATTAAATTTTTTGAGGAGAACCTCTCTCTGTGTTTGAGAAAGCTGCTCTGGTTTTGAAACAGTTGACGACAATGATGTAACTCGATCGATACAAATTGATAATTACATTTTGACCGATACATCACGTCTCAGCTCAACCTATGCCGTCCTTCAAGGCTCATCTTCCGCTCATCGTTCGACTTTCTTAATCGAATACATATCTCTGTTGGCTCACATGTCAGCGGCGCAACGCGTCTGCACAGCGTTCGAGATTTGCCCAGACTGCCTACTACAACGTAACGTTCTTTTGCCGAGTACTGCTCCTGCTAGGGACGGATGTGCCCATCGTAGCACTCAATGATTCCAGCACGTGACGAATGATTTACGTATGATCCAATTCCCCAGTCGACCCACGAAACCTGTCCACATGACGAGTTCATCTCCTCGTTGGCAGCTCGTATTTATCTGCGTAGTCTACCACGTTCAGCTTGCTCTTCGAGACAACGGGAGACTGTTAGACCAGCGTTTGACAAGTTGCTGCTCTACGTTCCCCAGTGTCGAGCAACTTGAGGCTCAAAGCACAGAAGAATGCTCGGACTTGCGTTACGATGTGACTGAGGTCGGATCATGTGAGTTCGGAGGCAGGTGGCAATGGCTCTCTCACATGCTTCTCTAGAGCTCGGCGGGACCTATTCGATCGATGGCCATCATCATGGCTGAGCAGGCGTCATCATGCTTGAGACGGGATACAATCTCTCGTCGAAATCTGTCAACAGTCCCTAGGGACTGTTGAGGCACGACCGTCAT